GTTATAAAAGTTTTATTTGCCATGTTATATGTAACTTGCTATGTCAGTTTATAGATGAAATTGCATTTTAAGTTCATTCTTTTTCAGAAACTTTCTCAAGAAGAACTGCAGCTGTTGGACGATATGTATGAGAAGGTCTGTCCATCACATGATGATTTACGAGAAGAAAAATCGTGGGATGACTTCCTGCGTGAAGCCGCTGATCATACCTACCTGCTTCTCAACCATTCGTCTAAAACTGTGCCAAATACTGATAAAACATGTATGTGAAGTATTCAATTTCAGAATTTACTGTTGGTGTGTTTCAGAGAAAAGTGGAGCTTCTTTGGTGTTGTCGGACCTTTCAAAGGGGTTCATATAGTTGTACGGGTTTTCTTTCGCTGCTTCGAGGTGTTACAGAGTTTTGAAGAGTTCATAAGTCTTTTTGATTTACAACCACTCCAGTGTCATCTCTTTACTAAAGCTGGTTTGTACCAGTTTTGAAGTCGGCTCAGCTCTCTGTTACGTAAAATTTTCATATTCATCACAAATGCAGAAAATCTGCTGCATCTGAAAACTGACGAAGCTGAAACTGAGTGATATGTAATCTGGTGGGTAGCAAGCAATGAATGCGACAAACAAAATACAACGGCGTCAAAATGCGTATCCATTGTATTGATTTAAGCATGTATTGTAAGCGAGTGTTAAGAATTTTTTTGAAGGACCGAAAAATCAGAGCACTGATGATTAAGCGATTTTGCCAAAGAAAGGCAGTCAAGAACGAAAGATCGGTTTGTTTTCACTGAAGGGGAATGTGGACACCTAGAAAATGGTATTAAAATGCTTCTTTCTTGAATCGAGACTATAAGAAACGTCAGGGGGACACAGAACGAATGATATCTTAAGCTGGACTTCATTTGTGGCTTGACGCCACGCAGATATTTCAGTGTGCCGTCTTATCCTTCCTACTCTGACCATATGACGATGCCTTGCATCCTGAAAATTCGTTTGGCCTGTGCAGTCGAGTGATTTTCTGAGGTCGGAAAAATCCAGCATCATTTTTTTCATTTTTCATGGCTTATGTCGAGCTTATTTTTGCTTGTTTCTTATACTTTTAACTACTTCTATCTTTTGTTTACATGTTTCAGACACGGATTTCCGGGTTCTTTTGGACAAAATCTTGAACTGCGGATATTTTCACAAATCCTTACCTGGCCGAGGTGAAAACCAGCCGCCGGAACAAGGTCTTACTAGCATAGCCATATAAAGTTTAATTGCTGCTTTTTCAACGTTTTTGTCTTACAGCAAAGTCTGATGCTGGTTCGTCATGTGGCAACGATGATAAGGAAATCGGGAACAAGCTAGAGGACCAACCAACCGAGTTGCGGCCAGAAATCAGTTCTTCGGAAAAACCGATCGACGAGGGGTCCTCCTATTGTCGTCAGGAAGTCTGTGATCAGACCGTTATTTCCCAGCTTCACCAGTCTCCGACGGACGTGATCGGCCCTACCCAGGGGTACGTGCACTTCCTGCAGGATGATCAGACAACATGTCCCCCTAAAGGTATATTGTTTCTAAGAGATTTCAAGATGAACTCGCTGATTTATTAGTCGTTACAAAAAATCCGATGAATGAGTAACGAGAGTGAAGGAACTGATTGGAAGATAGGTTTTGATTATTGCTATATCCGGATTTTTCGTACTTCTTACGTTCTGTATAACATATAAAGTGTAACATTTCTTTAATCCTGTACTCATTACGTCACTCCTGTGCAAAAAACGACAAGCGCTGCCAAATTTGAGACGACATATTCACATTCACAGATATGGTTTGTGAGAGTGAGTTACGTTGTCTTAAGTTTTGGCGAATGGAACTCATCGGTTGGCGAATGGAACTCATCAGTTGGCGAACTGAAGCTAATGCAGTTTAGATAAAGATGAAGTTTCTTGAACCAGAAACAAGCTTTCAAAGCTACAGCAGGAGAACCAGTCCCTCGAAAAGGAAAAATAAAATGTTTATTCGTTTGGACAACGTTGTACCATCAGCTTGATGTTAAGTTCTTATTTCATTCGATTGCGAAAGGCTATGTGCAGAACGTAACTTCGGAATGCAACGTAGATCAGCAACCAAGATAACTGTGGCAGACAACCGGATTCGCCACCATGCAGAATCACTGTCAGTCCGGTTATGGGGTTATATACCTCGTCGCCGAGCCGTAGTTGTTTGCAATTTTTTGGAAACATTATGCAGATTTGTGATAGGTAGTAATCGAATTCCCCAATGAGGCACGTAGATTATGCAGGCGTCTGATTGCTTTAAACCAGCCGCCGCTTGTGGCTCTGAAAACTGATGAAAAGTGGTATCTACATATGATGTGCGAAAATTGATTTTCGATTGTGTTTATGTTTTTATGACTGCGTTTAATTTTAGAGTCAACTTTATATTGTGAGGCACAAGATGGTCCGGTATACAACGTCTCAGGCGGTGCCGTGTTGTTTGCTCAGCCCTCTAACCCGACCTTGCAGCAGAATCTTTATCCAAATGGTAAAGATGTGAATAATTTCCGTGTATGATACTGTGATGTCATTTTGACAACCATTTTATTTCTGTGTTGCATTGTTAAAACTAAGAAACTTATTGCATTGCGCTTCATTTGGGTTTTAGCTGCTGTCGAATGCACACATGCTCGAAGGTAAACGATATCATGCAACGATTTTCACTGCTGGCTTGGGTATTAACACTAACAATGATTCATAGACCTTCTAGAGATTGTAGTTTGTATATCACCTTGTTATTTGGTGCGTCTGCTCCGCATAATTTAGTTCATTTTGTCATTTTGATGGTCAGCGTAACCCTTGGCATTGAATAAGTAAAGTCAACATCGACTAATTGTTTGTGCCTGTAGCCGTTGGATAATTGCGACTTATCATTGGTATCATTCTCTATTGCCGGCTTGCGTTAAAAGAATGAATCTGTCTTCACAGGTAAGCGTCCCTTTAGTAAAACATTATTTGCAAACTTCATGATAGTCTTCACGGATATTCTAACATGTAGATGGAATATGCCGAGAGCTGTACTTTACGCTTATCTGTAAAGTCGCTGTAGATTAATGAATTTTTGGTATTTTCAGTACACTGATGTTACTGGCTCAATCAGCGCCTTGCTTGTTGCCATTGATGCGGCATTGCGTTCAGGAAACTG